ACAGATTGGAGACCACCTCGGCCAAGGAGGTAGAGTTGATCACCTCCCACTTAGGCCAAAACAGATTGGAGACCACCTCGGCCAAGGAGGTAGAGCTAATCACCTCCCATTTAGGCTAAGACAGATTGGAGATCACCCCGACCAAAGAGGTAAGTTGATCATGCATTTAGATTTTATGGAATTTTATTAATTGTGCATAGCTTTTGAGCTTATAATGTGTTCTTTGTTGGGTGATTTTAGGTTATTATATTTCCTATTGATTGTTGTTTAATATAAGTTTGATAGATGTATAAAGTTGGGCTTTATCTGATTGGAAAGCTTAGGTTTTTTTGGGAGGGGGATTTCTCATCCCTTAGTCTTAGGTTGTACCTCACAAATCTATATAATTTTTTGTTTCTTATCAAAAGAAAAAAAAATATGTCGAGTCTTGTTGTTGTTTTATACTGTAATGGCAGGAGCATATGGACCAAAATACTAGTAATAATAAAGTAAAAATATGTAAAAATATGTAAACAAATGCTATTTTATTGTTTAATTTTGTTTCTATGAATCAAAGATTGATTATTTATTTTTTAATATGAATGGAAAAATAATTTCATCTTACAAATATATTTTGTTTTCGCTTTTAATAGGGGAATGAAAGGATGACACACCTATAGTACTTATGAGACACGATTCGTATGGAATATATGTTTGTCTCAATCTTTTTGAACGAGGGACTTCTTAAAATGGATGTATTTTGGATTTATGTACTATTTTTTCCTTCATATATATTTACTTGAGAATATGGACTTATGTTGGTATATGTATTAGAATATTCTAAGAGTCTATGTGAGCTTTTTTTTTTTAGGATTATATAGTATTCCGCTTTTACGTGGGTTGGAAATTTGAGAATTCTATATATGTACTTTAAAATTTCTAATATTTTGTAAGTGTAAATATGAATTTACATTCTTCCACCTAATATTTTGTTGGTGTAAATATGAAATTACATTCCTCCACATGCATAATTAGTGTATCACACGTGAGTCAACCTAATAAAATATTGATTTCACTCATTAAAAAAATTATTTATTTAACTAAATTAGTATGTGCTTTAAATTTATAAACACATTATAGATTCGTTAAATATATTTTATTATTTATAAATTAGAGCAATTGTAAAAATATAAGATTATAAGTAATTATTATTATTAATAAAATAAGTTTAAAATGAAAAAATGATATAAAATATGAATCAAACTATCATCCATATATTGTATTAAATTTTAAATTAATTCATGTATTTATAATTTGTCAATCATCTCTTCCTTCTTGAATTGGATTCGTCCTCGAATCAAGTTGTTTACTTACCTTCAAACGAAGCAAGTTAGTCCAATAATATGTATATATAGTAGAACTATTACCTTTTTGAAGTTGAAAAACTTCATTTTCTTCCTTCTTCTCGAAGATCTCCATTTGATTGTTATTTGTGCTCTCCTCATGTGGCTCGGCCTCTTGAGGTTTTTGGGATCTTTGAGTGGGCAGCTCGATGTTGCTTCCTTCTCCTTTTCCTTCTTCCATTTTCCCCCCCTCATTTGGCATGGCTTCGGGCATTGTTTCCTCAATTTTCTGTAAAGACTAAACACAAGTGCTAGACAAGGCGTATTTCTTCTTTCTTGAGTTAGGAGTTCATTACCTTCAATAAAATATAGAAGAAGCAATTGTGTAGCACGAAGAGCTCGCTCTATTTCATCTTTTCTAGCCATGAGGGTCACGACTTTCTCTTTCTTTCTTGGAGCCTTTTCTTTCTTTTTATTTTGAAGTTCAATAACTTCATTTTTCTCGGCCTCCAACTTCTTTCCTCAAATTTTAACTCATCAATGTGTACTTCCTTTGGAGAAAGAGGTACAAGTGTGATTTTCTTACCTTGATGCTCAAATGAATATTTATTAAGAAAACCATCAAAACTCACTTTCTTATAAAATTGCCATGGTCTCCCTAGCAATAAATTACTAGCATGCATAGGTACAACATCACAAGTGACCTCATCCTTGACCTACCTATGTTGAATGGAACTTGAACTTGTTTTTGGACCTTCGCATCCCCACTATTATTTAACCATTGTAAGCTATAAGGCCGTGGGTGGGGTGTAGTGGCTAAATTCAACCTTTCCACTATATCCTTACTAGCAACATCAGTGCAACTCCCACTATCAATGATAACATTACATGGGGTGGAGTTTACTACACACCTAGTATGGAATAGGTTCTCTCTTTGTGCCTCTAAGGGTTCTTCCCTAACTTGCACATTGAGGTTCCTCCTAGCCACTAAGGCTATGTCCTTGGAATCTTCTTCTAGTTCCTCCTCTTAACTACTCTCATCTTTCCTCTCCTCAACCTCTACTTTTTCTTCTTCCTCATCATCCGTGACTAGCTCTCCCTCTTTGAGTATTATGGCTCTTTGGTTAGGTCAATTTCAGCTTATGTGGCATACTCCATGACACTTGAAACATTTAATGTCACTAGTCCTAGTTTTGGGAATTTTGGGTTGGGCTTTGGACTTGGATGTAGTTAACTTTCGGTTTTGACTCTAGGGATTTGTTCTCCGTTTTGTTACTAGTGGCCTTAGGAGTAGATTTGACATACCTTTTAGCTCTCTTTTGGTTTTGCTCCTCTATTTTGACGACAAGATGTAAAAGTTCATCCATGTCTTCATAGTGTTGCAAATCAAGCTTGTCGGCTATGTCCGGATTAAGACCATCTAAGAAACGAGCCATAGTGGTCTCCTCATCTTCCTCTTATTGCAATCGGCTCATCAACATGTTTATCTTCTTGTAGTAGTCTTTAACTCCCTTGGTGTCTTGATAGAGCTTATTAAGTTTCCTTGAATTTGCTCTATGGTAGTATGGTGGCACAAATCTCCTCTTCATGAGTTCCTTGAACTTTATCCATGAAGCAACGAGTCCTTCATGGTTCCTCCTTCTATGAGCCATCACTTTATCCCATCAAGTTAGTGCATAATCTTTAAAATGAGTGATTTCGAGAACTACCTTCTTGCCATCATCATAATTGTGGCATGCAAACACTAACTCAATCTCCTTTTCCCATGATTCAAATTCTTCGGGTGTAGATTTTCCATGGAAGGTTGAGATTTTCAACTTGATGCTCCCAAGGTAGTTCTCTCTTCTTAGCTTCTCTTGGTCTTGTTGGAATCTCTCTTCCTTGGCCAACGTATGCTCTTCTTGGACCTACATCAAAAGGATCTTCATTAGCAAAATATTCATTTAAAGTACCTACCTCATCTTCTTGAGAACCGTCGGATATCTCTCTTAGGCTCATTGGTCTCCTTCGATGTAGCATTCTTTGGGGCCTCTCCAATCCTTGAACTCGTGCGTTCATCATTTGCAAGGATTCGGTTAGATCTTGAAGCCTTTGGGTATATCTTGCAAAGGTTTGGATTTGAGCTTCCTTAAGTCTTTCATCGCTCACGTTAGCCTTGTCTCTTTCTTCTTGTGAGTCATGAGACTTTCCTCTTGATGCCATTACTACACAAGTAAAAGGTTAGGATAAACAAGAAAAAAATTCTCTTTCACTCCCTTACCTGTCCTCTCGGCTTCCTCTCCTTTGGTAGGGTGAATGTTGTTGTGGATACCCTTTGGAGATGCTTGCTTGAATGCTTCGTGGCGAATCGGTCTTAGAACAAGTGAGTATAAGCCTACAAGCAACTTGCAAAAATATCTTTTTTTTTTTTTACTAGTGGGTCAATTGCAAAAATATCTTTGGCTATAGGGCTCGGATTAAAGTGAAACTTGGTTTGTTGGAAAGCTTTTGAGGTGCAGAACACAAACAAACAAGTTTTGAACAATTTAAAGTAGATTATTGAAATAAAAAATTCTTTGCAAGAATGATAGATAAAGTTGACTAGTGGAAGACAAGAACAATGGATGAATTTTTATGAGATTTTTCGATAAAGGAAAGTAAAGACAAGACTTAAATCTAAAAAAAGAAAATAAACATATATCCCGGTCTAGAGCCTAAGCTCTGATACCAAATGATACGCGACAACCCAAGCGTATTGAGTTACTCAAACCACAAGCCACTTGAATCCAATCGTATAAATGGTTCAACTCGAAAGGCCAATGTCAGAGGGATTACCTTTACTGTCCTTAGCTTAAGCAGATAGATCACTCACTATACTCGAGGCCGGAAACACTTCACGAGTTTGTGACTAATCAAAAAAGCATGCTCCGAGGGGTTTAAACACGAAGGCGTAAGTTCAACCACACAAAGGGATTCGAAATTTTAGGGGTTTTGCACAAGGCAATGAGAGAAACACTTAATTCTATTTGTCGCAACGTTATTGCGATGCGGAGCGGCCGATGTCATCCCCTAAATGGTCTCTTTCGAGATATGAGTTTGGAGTCGCCACCAATCATCTACGAGGTGTGATTGGTCACCTATTTTAAAAACTCGGTCTACGAAAAATAGATTTTACATTCCAGAGTCGGCTGAGCGTAGGGAAGATGTTAGCATCCTACGACATTCATTCGAAAACGGTACCATATTTTCTAAAAAATTATCCTATTATTTTATTTAGTCCAAAAGAAAATTATTTATTTTGATTGACATGTCCCACGTTATATTAATTCACACTTTGTTATGAGTGGCACGAAAGCCATTAGAAAAATTTTATCACCTCATCTAATTTTCATCATTGTGGTTTTTGAAATAATTATTTAGTAGAAAGAAATATATTAATAAATAAAAAATAATTTTAGTGTAGGGCGCATCAAGACTTGAAATTGTGACATAAGAATCAATAAACAAACCTCTTACCAATGTGCCAACATCTTAAGATATTAATTTTTTTTATATAAATGTTTTAATATTTGAAATTTGTTAAAAAGAAACAAAAGTTTTCTTTTTTTATTTTAAAAAATATTTTATCTAAAATAGCTGTTTTGTAAAAATAATGAATATAAAAATAACATTAATTTACGCAAGCAAAGACTCAAACGTAAGACATGTGAATTACTCCTAAGAAACCTACCACTATGCCAACACCACATGATACAACCTAGCTTTAATTCTTATCATATAAATCTTTATTTTGAAATTTTATTTAAAAAAACAAAAATTAAAACTAAAACAAAAAAAAACTTTATTTTGTTTTAGATTTGAAATCCCTATAACAAACTTCCTTAAAACTTAAAAAAAATATTTAAAACAAACTTGTTCTAAAGAAAAAAAATTATACTTAAAACAAATTTGTTTTAAAAAAATTCATATTTAAAACAAACTTATTTTAAAAATAATCAAATCATATTTAAACAAACTTATTTTAAAATATATATATATATCAAATTTAAAACAAACTTATTTAAAAACTCATATTTAAAACAAATTTATTTAAAAAAATCAAATCATTTCTAAAAGCATTTTTTTATATCACATACTGCAGTGAGGAAATCCTTGTTGTGCCCGCGAGTCTGAAACTGTGAAGGAGCACTTGAGGTGGGAGTCAAGTTGCCGGAGATCTTGAGGCGGGTCTGAAACGTTATATTATTGTTGTCCGTCGGGATTATAGAGCCTTACGTCGCACTACTGTTTTGCGAGTTGTCGGAACTTGTGATTTCGGGGAACGTGTGCAGTCAGAGTATCGTCGGGGTCGCCAATGTGGGTGAAGAAGAAGAGAAGGTGATGGTAGAAAGAAAGAAGTGAATTTTTGTTCCTCTTCTGTATGGGTTTTTTGTGTTCCCCTCCTCTCCGCTACAGCCCTCTTTAAATACACCTAAAGATAACGGTAAAAAAGAAAAAAAGGCAAGAGAAGAGAGAAAAAGAGGGAGGAGAAGAAGGGAATGAGACACGTATGAAGGAAAAAAATTAAATGAGAGGAAAAAAAAACTTTTTAAATCTTAAAATCAATTAAATAAAATACTAAAAAAACAATTATTTTCAAACAAAATCTAATTTTAAAACTTAA